GCCGAGGGATCCCAGCTCCTGGAAGCGCAGGCGGGATCCCTCCACCTCAGATGGCTCTCGCAGCAAACACACAAGCGGCATGCAGCTATACTACAGTATAGGCCTTCTTCCTTTCCGCGCTCGGCGGTCGAATTGAAAAACCCTGAGCGCCTGTTCTTAAAGACCTTCTGCAAAGTGGGTGCACAGCTGAGAGGTTGCTGCAAAGACGGGAGCCGCACCTTCGACACTGGCCCGAGAGGTGCCTCAAGGGCTTTGCGCCTCAGGGAGTCACGAGAAAATCTTCGGAGACTTTGGACGTGCTCAGGTGCAGAGCACTGTGTGTCGGGCATGCGGGGAATGCACAGAGCCAGCTGGCGCCAATCCTGCGACATGCCGAAGGACGAAGGACGAGCACTGGTTAGCTTAGCCTTCGCCAGGCTGATCTCCGGAAGCTCTTCCGGAAGGCCACACCTCGCATGGACCCAGAGACTCATGTGGCAACGTCAGAGGCCGTCAGCTCCCGGCGGGCCGGAACCCGAAAAGAGCTGGCCGCCCAGACCTCGGTCACGACACGTCGGATTGGCGCTCTATGAATCACTGAAGCGCTCTGGATCGCAACTGTCACAACTCTGAGAGGCGCGGGCTGCGCGCCGAGTGGCGCCTGCAGCTGTTCAGGGCCTTCTCAGAGCGGTATAAGATCGTGAACAAGAACCCTTCTAAGAAAGGGCGTGAATGGGCGTGATCCCACAAGAGTCAGGTCGCAGACAGGTCAGACAGGGATCCTCTCTCTGCCATGAAGGGAGCACGGGACAAGACGGGATGACTCTGCCGACAGTGAGCCTCCTCGAGATTGCGGGCCAAGACCTGGAGTTCCTCGTTCCGCTGCCGGACCATCCGCAGCCTGGAGCAGAAAAGAAAGCCTTCTGCCTCTCTGCCCAAGAGGAGGCCTGCATTCTCTGCATTCTCTGCATTCTTGCGTGGACCAAATCTCTCTTGGAGTTTTTTTTTGCGGCCAGTGCTGACTGAAAGCTTGTTGGCATGTTGAGGAGGCCTTCGAACGGCATGTGATGCACTTCGCGTCTTCTATCATCTCCTCTCTCCTCGGGCTCTCTGCGCCTCTCTTCCGTGGATGCGATCTTGCCCGCAAGCAGGTCCCTGGCAGAGCCCACAAAAGGAAGGGTATCCAGAAGAAGAAGAAGCAGAGCAAGCACCATGTTCTCAATGCCTCGCCGAACTTCTGGCACTGCCGCTGCGACCTTGCTGCCGACCTAAACAGTGGGGCAGGGAGAAGGCCCGCTCTGCTGGGATTCCCTGCAGGCTGCGCGCAATAGATTTCGGCCTCTGCCAGCAGCTGATGTGCCTTCCATGGAATTCTGCACAGTGTGAATCCTCTGCTGGAGCCTTCTGCAAAAACATGCAACTTACTGTAGCTGCAACTTCTCATGCCCCTCGAGCCTCGCCAGAAACTTCGAACCCTCCCATGGCTCTTTCGAGTCGGGGTGGAGTCTCGGCATCTGTGTCCGTAGGGAGTTTGCCAGAACCGCCTCATGGCGGCTGCTGTGTTTCCGGCTTCCTATGCAAAGAAGAACGAGGCTGCGAACGACAACAGCTCAGCCGTTTCTTCATTGTGATACCCTTTCCGCACATCTCGTACAGCACAAGATGTGCACTTGCAGCCTAACACCCAGACACCGAACTCCGGGGCCGAAAGCCCTGAAGAGCCCGGGGACTTTCAGATGGACTGAGTGTTGCTAAGCTAAGCCAGAGTCTTTACAGACAGCGATGGTCGCTTCGAGCCGACGTTCATGGCCGCAGCAGGCGGAGATGAGGTTCTGCCGGAATGATCTGAGTCAACGAAGGCAACGACTCCCGTCTCATTATACTGCTCTTGGACCTTCAGCCTTCAACAGCACATGCCCTTTTTGGGGGCACCTTCAACGCTGACATGCGGGCTTTCGAAAGCTTGAAGGTGTGCTTTGCCAAAGGCTTAGAACTAAGTAGAGAAATCCGATTGTTCAGGGAAGAACTTGTTCAGAGGGGGGGGGGGCCTCCGCTCCACTAAGGGCCACCCCAAAAGATCCAAACTCATGACATCCGCGGAAGCCGGTCCTGAGTACCTGCTGGTAATTTAGACCTCTGATGCATAACTCCCTTTTACAGGGAGGTTTCGAAGTGAAAGCGCTTTTTTATCGGAGGGGGGGGGGAGGGGGTTGAGGGTTTTCCGTCTTTGCTAGCCCGAGAGCCTTAGTGACTTTAGTGTTTTCAGGGGTTCCATCAAGGTCGGCCAGGGCCAGGGCTGGAATAACACGGAGGGCCCAGAGCACGCGAAACCGGAAGCAGCCTGGGTCTCCCGCAGGAACCAGGCTGCCTCCGGTCTCAGCAGACAGCACAAAGCCCCAAAAGCGCTTGAACAAGGCCGGAAAATTACGGAAACGTGATCTGGTTGGTTTGAAGCTGCAAGCGAGACAAAGCCATGGCTGTCACAGCCCAGCTCGGTAGGGCCAACAGACGATAGCAGTCAATAGCATTGCCATGCTGCCATGCTGTTCTCGTTGGTCTGCTAAATTCTTCAGGATGTTTTGAAGACACGGGACCACGGTGGTGTTTCGTTCTTCGGTTTGATGAGAAGATGAGGGCAGTCGAACATCGGTTTCAAACTTGCAAACGGATGCTCCCCTAAATGCAACCATTCTCGAACGGTGTCACCCTCGAATTGCGTGGCGTTCCACGAACACTTGGGCCACGGAGTGGGCTTCCTTGGTCGGATGGGTGACTGCAACCACAGACATGTGTCACCCTTAGACATCTTTCAACGGTCATTTGAAGTCAACAAATGCCTGGTCTCCGATGAAAGATCTTCAATGGGTTGAGTCGCTGGGGTTTCAAGCATCGACCAATGCGCTTTGGTACTCTTATGCCATGTGTTGTCTTTGATTCTCACCATCTGCGGCTGTGCATCACATGCCTTCATTCGCAAACTATGGCAAATGACAGAGTTAAGCGTGCCGAAAGAATGCAGGAGTGGCAACAGTTTCTGCAAGTACCTCTTACCTCAAAGCACAGGCTGCAGATACCCTCTTGTTTGCACATGTCCAGAGAGAACTTCGTGCGCAGATGTGGGCTCCCGGCTTCCAGAAGAAGGAGATTCCAGATTCCAGCGAAGGAAAAACGTAAAAGCCGTTTTGACCCATGGAAGCTGAATATGAGTTTGAAGGCGTGAGCAGCATGCTTGTAGAGTAATGAAAAGCCGGGTTTTGAGAACACCTGAGGTGCCGGTTACTGCTGAAAGCAGTCGAGGTCAACGTGACTTGAAGCCAGCTTTCAGACTGACGTTGACCACGGCATGCCGCGACTGCAATCATGTCCTCGTTGTGACACTCCCGACGATACTCAACAAGTCGAGGTAAATATGTCTCAAGGCACATTTGGATTTGTAGAGTGTCAGTTTTCGGCACAAAGTGTCGGGTTCAAGTCTTGCGGGTTGGGCACATGCAGGAAACAGTCCACTGCATGAGAGCAGCGTCGCGGCGCAAGCAGCATTGATACGCCAAAGCACGAAAACTCCAACGAGGATCGTGCCGCTTCACTGGGCCGGTCATTTCAACTTCCCACCATTGACTGCGCAAGTTGACATCAGTACGGTGCGGATGCTATGTGCGGTATCCTGATGATGGATGCCTCGGTGCCGGAAACAACATCAGTGACGCCGTAGTTGCAGCTGGTGCATCCTGGTGTACTTTGGGACGCGCCTCTAAGTGTGGTGTACTTAAATGCAGCCTTAGAGCCGTTTTGAAGCAGACGATGAAAGACCCTGAGTGTTGAGTAAGAAGGTGCGAGCCGGATGTTGCCGATGCCTGTCCACGGGATCTCTAACACATCGTGCAAATGCCAGCTTCGCAGATGCGGAGTCTCATGCAACCGCGGAGTCTCAGGTCATGCAAAGGCTCCTGCAATATCTAAGCACCCTTTCGGATCCACTCGGACTGCTCGTGCTGACCCACTCTTCTCGCAAAGCAACGACAGCGGCTGTCTGAAGAATGTGAGGCTTTCTGAGGGGCCTATATGCCGCAGGGAAGGCAGAAGATGGGCCATGGGTGAGACTCGTGGCATGCTCTTGTGAAACACGTCACGGGCACGGCTGCCCTAGTGACTGGTGACACTAGTGCTGCACGCCCTGCTTCTCTGCGAAGGTCCTGCTCAAGGCTCATCGGATCTCAGAGGCATAGCCGAATACACAAAGTCAGCTCCTTGCCTCAACCGGTTGAAGACCTCTACCTTCAGCTTCTCGGGGAGAGACGCTCTCCCTTTTGGTGCGATGTCGTTGATCATGTCCTTCCAGGACATGCTCAGAATTCACGGCATCGCAAATGTCCTGGAGAAAGCAAACCTGGCCGCCGACACCCTGTCCACGCGTGATCTTACACCGGATCAAGGGAAGGTCCCCCACCTCGAGGGTCACTTTCTCCACACCCCTGTTCTGAATGAACTCCACGCACTGCTTCTTGAGCTCCTGCGACATCGGAAAGTCTCTGGCACACCTTTCGCATCTTTCGAGCGAGAGGAGGGTCGGAGGGTCGGACGGCGTGCCTCCCGCCATCCACACTCATTCAGGTGGCTGATGATGTACCTGTCAAAATCAGAAAAGCTCCACACATCTCACAATCTTTCAGATTGGAAAGGTCCCGAAACTGCACAGACCGCTTGGTCACTGCTTGAGCTGCTCTCGTTCACCCGTCTCTTCCAGCTTCATGTCGAGCATGTTCTGCTCCTGAAGGGAGTGGGTGAGTGTCGCGCCACTGGGCCCTTTCTGGGCCCCGGTCCATCACCCGTCGCGCCGCCGAGGCGTCCGCCATGGCCCCGCACGGCACTGCCGCCGCGATCAGCTTGAGCCGACTCAACTCACCGGTCCAGTCTAGCTGCTGTCCCGCTTAGACCAGGAAGCGTTCCTTTTTGCAGCGGACGGTGCTAGTGTCGCTAGAGCTCGAGCGCGGAAAAGTGGGGCACGGGAGCTGCGTCCGCTATCACCAGCCCTTCATGTTGATGAGGGGCCTCAGACTCCCACAAGAAAACAGCACCCTTGCTCTGTTTGGGCCCTTGGATGCTGGCTGGAGGTGATGCACTACCTGCGAATCCGAACTGGAATCCGATGGCGGCCGTCAAAAAGGCTGCAGCCCGCAGCCTCCACGAGATCCTGCTGGTTTTGCATCACGGTGTTCAGGTCCTGCAGATCAAGGCAGGTAGGGAATCTTTCGCGGCATCACAAGTAGAATACCTGCGTGTAGATGTTAGTTACACAAACATACACAGGCGAATACAAACACAGAAATGAGCAGAACAGCAAACAAACCAGTATACAAACTTCAAAAATAACACATATACACATATGTAAACGAATATATAAATAAGTATATGCTGCTACTCCTCACGTGCCCGCGTTAGAGTCATGGTTCAAACGTGCGAGCACTGCGGGTTGTTTAAATTAATGATACAGCTCGAACCCCGCATCATTAACACAGCTTCGGGTGTGTGCCCGGGAGAGGGGACGCAATGTCATTGGGTGCTGGACCGAAAGGGTCTTCGTAGAAACTTGAAACTAAACAACAAATAAACATTCGCGATTAGTAATCGAAAGATTTGAAAGATATCTATTTGCCATGCTCAAAAGGTATTCCTTGTCTCCCCTGGCCCTTCGCACCTATCCTCAGGGCCTGGAGGTCGTCGGCTTTTGTTTCGGTTTGCTTTTTTTTTGGGGCTTTCGCTGCTGCGTTTTTACAGCATTTGGCCGAACCAATCGTAATGCATGTCTTGGTGGCTGTTTTTGGCACTTCCTTAGCCGCAACAAATCGTACTCCCGGTCTTGATGCTTCTGTCTGGCCAACTCTTGGCCATGACAAATCGTGCTGCCGGGTCTTGCCGACTCTTTCTGGCCCGCTCTTGCCCGTAACACATCGTCCTCTCGGGTTTTGGTGGCTCTTTCTGGCCCACTCTTGGCCGTAACAAATCGTACTGCCGAATCTTGCTGGCCACTCTTGGCCGTAACAACTCGTGTTAAAGGATCTTGGTGGGTCTTGCTGGCGCTTTCAGGGTCTACTCGTGGTGTTTGTCATTAAGGTATCGGTCTGGGTTTATTCCTTTTAAGGCTTCGGCCTGGGTTTATTCCTTTTAAGGCTTCGGCCTGGGTTTACTCTCTTTAGGTTTTCGGGTTTCCACTTTGTCTAGGGTTTCAGCAGCCGTTTACGCCTTTTCGGGTTTGGGCCTTCTTCCATTAGGGTTTCGGTCTGGGGCTTACTGCTGTTGGGGCTTCGGCCTGGGGCTTCTTTCAAGCTTACCGTTTGCGTATGTTAGGGTTTCGGGTGCATATATATATGTATATAAATACATGTGTGTACATATATGCTTGTATGCGTTTCGGTCTGGGTTTACCCCTTTTCGGGCCGAAGAGGGTCTCCTTGTCAGGTCCTGCCAAAGGGCCTCTCGTTCGAGACTGTTGCTTCTGAGCAATAAAGAAAGACACAAGTGACCCCCCTTCCGGGGCGAAGCACTGCCTTAATTCCTGCAAGCATCTATCTACCCATGTGTCTATCTATCTATCTGTCTGTCTATCTGCCTACATATCTATCTGTATTTATGTAATCTCCGCATGCCTGCTTTCTTCTACAAGGAGAACCGGACACGTTGCTGTACCATTTTCACTCTCAGGGTGCTGAACTGGTTGGTGACCAACCCAGCAAAATGAGTGGCCACCTCCAGGGCCATGGCCTGCCAGGGATGCTGGCAACTCCCTCCGCACGCACACGCCTCATGCTGCGCGCCTCGGACCAGTCCGCGCCCGCGGCCGTGGCAGCGTAGTGCAGCTTCCGGACAAAGTCCGGACGCCGCTGAAGGCATTTCGCCCAAGCATAATAGTGCCAACAAAGGGGCTGGAAACCACCACGCGCCCAAAACGTGGCTGCTTTCAAATCCAATCGGACTGTGACGAGGTAGCAGCCACGTTTTGACAGGCTCAGGCGGACTGCCGCTTCAAGAAGCGCAGTGCCGCCGCCTTGGCCCTTCGAGCCGACTTCCTTGAGGCATAGGCCAGAAGGGCTGTCCTCGACGGTTCATCCTTCCGCCCAGAATTACCGGGCCACCCTCGTCGGCTCTGGTGGCAACAAGGAGGGCCTCAGAGGCATATGCCGGAACACATGTCTGGAATACCGATGGCTCACTTGCACTGTTGCCGCTTTGCTTCCCGCTTCTCGTCCCCTCCAAAGTGCAGCGAAATGACCGCAGAAAATGATGAAATCTACTCCGCCATGCGCTTCTGCACACGCGCGTGCGCCAAGTTTCTCTAAAGCACATTCGGAAGAAGTGCCGCGAGCTCATCATCACAAGGCCACTTTCCTTGTTCATACTATACAGCCGTGTTCCATATACCATGTATGATCGAATACGACTTTTAATCAAAACACTGACAGAAAAATAACATCGGTATTAGAGTCCGTGATCGGTAGACGCATGTAGTGAAGTGGACGTGAATGTGCAGCCTTATTTGGGGATGTCGTCCTCCAGGCTGGAAGGCCAAACAAACACTTATGTTTTTTGGCGCCCCCCCCCGCCCCACCTCTCCCGAACTCTCCCCCTCCACGTGCCTGCTGTCCTACGACAGGCTCCCTCCCAGGCGATGCCCAAGGTGAGCTGGCGGAGCCGGTCAGTATGCAAATCCGGAAATCCATACCTCTTCCTCGTTTCGACTGTTTGCAAGTTCTCGCTCCGAGCTTGCAACATCGCAGTTCAAACTGCCACGCATCGTCCTTCCTGGAGCCGTGGTCAAGCCACCATACCAATACCAGATGGTCATCTGAGGCGGCCTAAAACGTCTTTGCAGTCCACATGCCCTGTCCTCTCAGCGACGTTGTCCACTCGAGCCACAACGGTACCCTGCTTGGTGTGGCTCGTATCATATGCCGAGAACTCCACGTAGTCCCCGGCCCCCAAAAAAAACGACGCCCATGCGTCTGGATCGGCCTGGGCCACCATGGCCCAGGTTGGCAACAGGGGTTCCAAAACCACGTCTGCTACTTTCACCCTGGGTTGGCAACAGGCACTCCAAAACCACGTCTGCTACTTTCACTCTGGGGCTGGTTGGCAGCAGGTGCTCCGAAACCACGTCTGCTATTTTCACTCTTCTGGGGCTGGGTAGGCAGCAGGCGCTCCAAAACCACGTCTGCTACTTTCACTTTGGGGCCGGTACCAGGCACTTCAAAACCACTGCTAGTGAACTGCAGACCTGACAACACGCTCAACAGAGTATGTTGGAAACTATACCCACTCCAATTTGGCACGGACTATGCCAGTCCCATCGCGCCGCATCTCCGGAATCAACTGGCGCACAGCTCTTGGGCTGTCGTTGCACCCATGCCGGTTATCCATCAATGGCGATAGCGGCAGTACCTGGAAAAAACAACCAAACATCAACGCAATGAAGTCGCACGAGTGGGATACAAAGAATCGACCTGCCGAAGCGGCATTGACCTCGGCGGAAGTCGCGGCACAATGGCCGAAGTGCTTCCCGCCATGCTCGCCAAAACTGGTTCAACAGGGCCCTGCCCCAGTGCCGGAAGGCACGATTAAACACCGCCCTGATGAGGCGGTCTCGGTGCGGGATAGCCACTGGGACGGCAGCTGCCGGAGGCAGCGGCAAACCAGCCGGGGGAAGGGGGGGCACTGGCAGGCCTACTGCGAAAGCTGCGAGGCTTCACGGCCCAAGTCTTTCACGGGCAAAGGCGCGTGCAGCTTCGCCCCCGAAAATCTCAAAGGTATAATGGATGACAAGCGTTAACCCTAACGGTGTCACTAAGGCATGAAAAAACCTCATAAGCCCCAGTCCCAGTAATTCAGGGGAATTGCGTCACAATTGTGTCGCAATTGCACACATCTTGGAAGAGATGACATTGACCAAAGCTGCCAGCAGCACGAACCCAAATCAAGCAAAATATTGTATACTGAAGATCAAACTCACCCCAAAATCTTTCATAATGTCTTGTAGTACTGCAGTAGTGCTACATAAGAATCATCTTCTCAAGGACAAAATGTAAAATAACTGAGTCTAAGATGGGGAGAATCTACTATCGTACAAGCAGCGGTTAACACGCTATTTATTCGCAAAAATTGGCGATGCAAACCTAGAATGCAGGACCTACAGCGGCTATCATGACCAAATGGTCCTTGTAGGCCATTGGCGCCTGTGCACAACATTGCGGGTCGCCGGGGCTACGATGCAATTATTGGGGGCAGCCGTCTGGTGTCTAGTTGTTGTTTTGGTCTCCTTGTTGGGCGGGGAGTCGTTGCTTCGTGGTGGTGGTGGTGGTTGTGGTGGCAGTGGTAGTGGTGCTGGAGAACAATCAGCGCGGTTCGTCATGAGCAACACCATCAGCACCACGACTAGAATCATAAACTAGCCGTATCCACGGAGCCTGCCGCCGGAACCAGACTCAGAGCAACGACGCAACGACTGCCAAATCCGATAGTAAGACCAATCCAGAACATGATCCTGCGACCAATCATGACATGATGATGACCACACCAGCAGCGGAAGAACTACAAGGTCAGCAGGGAAAAGCAACAACGACAACACCACGCCACCGCCGCCACCCCCACCACCACGACCACGTCCACCACCACGACGACGAGCATGGCCACGACAACGACCACAGCCGCCGCCACCACCACCACCGCCCCACCTTCACAGCGTTTTCTTTTTGCAGTGTTGTTTCGAAGTGTTCTATCGCGGCCTCATCTCGAACCTTGTCGGCAAACTTCACGTCCCAAACCTGTACTCAGACTGGGATGTGCTGCACCAGGCTGAAACGCCAGTCTCTGGGCAAACCGCAATCCCGCGGTCTCGCATGTGGCCAGCGAACGTCTTGGGATCAATGTTCCTTGTCGCATCCAATGTATGAGAAGGAGACTGGCCCAACACGAACAGATTGGGCCAGCGTTCCGCAGTATCTGGGTACGTGAATGAAACCTATCACACCGAACATCTGCTCTGCATACGGTAGTGTCAGCGCGCGATGAATTCTCCATGCAGTCTCCAGATCAGCACCATCAGAGTAAGGGAGCGAGGGACGGGAGGGAGATGTGAAGGCCTGAAGGCAGCCGCCCTGGACATGGATCTGCCGGCGCCGTGAGAGCAAGACCTCGAAGCACTCGGACGGAGTCTTAACGACCCCTGGATTCCTGGATCCTGTGTCACTGGGGTGCCGGCTGCCAAGAGTCGGCCTCTCCTTTGCCACGCACGATGTACGATCCGGTTCCCATGCCTTCCGCTCAAGACTTCAACGACTTCGCAGCACCTTTCAGCCGAAGGCACTTCCCGGGATGATGCCCAGCTGTCCGGCTTTCGCGCTGGTCCTTGGTGAGGGATGAAGCCCAATGAAACCAACATCGCTGACAGCACTTCGACTCTGAAAAACATGCAAGCCCTGGAGAGGAATAGGCTCAGCCCCCAGCGCCCCTTTTCGAGTGATCCAAAGCTTTTCCTCCTTCCACCTCCACAAAGATGTCTCTTTTTTTCAAGCTTGCACAAGGTGAGTATCGGCCTCTTGGTGGCAGGATCCAGGTACCTGATCAAGAGCCGAACTATGACACTGACGAAGCATCGGCTGAACGCGCCTACACTGCTCGCACTCACAATAGTTGTGATGGATGTTAACCTCGGCCGGTCGAAAGGTTGACCCAGCATGTCCACGCGAGGTGCCATTACGTCATTACGCGCCCTGCCATCCGATCCCAGAGAGCATCACGCCGCGTCAGCTTCTTGATGACCTTCGTTGCGACGGGGGGGACTCCAAAAACGCAAACCGCTCAGATCAGCGAGCGGAGCCTTTGCAAAGGACTCCATCATGAAGCGCCTTTGAGGCGAAACCCCGCGCCCATGCGCTCAAATGGACCCCCCCCTCCCCCCGCCCACACTTTTTGTTGCACCTGTTCTCCCAGGCGTAAGCTTGGCAAAATGTCATGTCGGTCAAGTACTGCCGACCTCCGGCGAGAAAGCGGGGCGCTCGGGGCTCCACGCTGCCTCTGCAGCCCCTGAAAGCCCCGAACCTTCTGGGGATTCGATCCTGGCTGCGAGAGAGAAGCGAGAGCGAGAAAGAGCAGCAAAGAGTGTGGGGCTCAGCGCTCAGGCTCTGCGGTCACCGGGGCCTCAGGTAGGCCAGTGCTTCGGGGCGCCCGTTGCACCTCGGCTCGCAATGTGTGGGGGGATGCTGCGCTTTAGAGCGGCTTCGCCGGGCCGGGGCCCCGGGCTGCTTGGCGGCCAGTTTGTCGTAGTACTGCGCCGTGACCTCTCGTTCTCGCCACCCCCTGAGCCCTCCCCACGAATCCTCCTGTCCTTCCGGTCCTGTCTTTTTTGCTACCCCCCTAACTCTCCGCGTCTCCAGTGCCCCCTGTGTCGACACCCAGGTTTTGGTGTTGAGCTGCAGGCATTGCCGATGTTGCGGGAGCCGCTGTGCAGCATCATCCACACACGATCCTGATCCCGGTCGTCAGGATCTGCTCATGCATGCGACGCCTGTCTGTTTAGCCAGTCGTTCAAACTGTCCAAGCTTATGCTCTCTTCAGTCTCTGTTAATTTGGTGTGCGTGTGTTTACACTACAAAGCATCCCAGTATGATCAAATTAAGAGAAGTGGAGCTGCAGCTTGTGGGCATGGGCATTGGAACGCTTCTTGCCTTCTCGTTGCTTGCAAGTTTGAACTTTGTGCTCCGCGCGCCCCTCCTCCTCGTCGTAGACAAGCTCCACGAAGTGATTGCCACCGCCGAGCGTGCCCAGCTGCTTCGTGTGTCGGCTGCCGAAGGTGTCCCTGTCTCGGAAAGTCCCCTTCCGGGAGTCACTGACGACAGACAAAAACATCCTCTACGAGAGTGCAAAGTGCGCCCATCGCATCAGCATCTTTGCAGCGCGGACACCCGAACATCCGGCCTCAGCCATCTTGTGGGCGAATGCTGGGACATCAGCTTCTTTGAAGTTGCCTGCAGGAGAAAAGGATGCCTTTTGCCACGGGTGCCTCTCTCGCCTCCATGGCAGAGGTGCTCTGACCGTGGTACTCGAAGCCAGTCGGAATGGAGCTCCTCGGAGCTGAGCGCTTCGCGGCAGCTTCTCGTGCCCGGCCCCAACCTGAGACCGCTTTGGATAGCGAGGAGATCCTTTTCAGACAGGTCCTGCCGTGAGCAACAACTGCCAAGAATCATGACAAGAAGCAGCAAAACGCCTGTCGCAACAACGGGCCCGACACCTCAAGGGATCACACACATGTGCACAAGCAACTTCCTGAAAGTCGATACTCTACTTGTAGCAACTGGGCGGCCACGCCGGCACGGCGCCTCGGATATCACTGAATCACAAAAACATAAGCTCTGGACACGGCCAAGGCTTTCGTACCGAGCTGCCGACACATGCCGCAGCCAATGTCCACCCCAACCTCACCACACTAGCGTCATCAGCGTTAGCAGCAGCGCCGTCGTCTGCCAGCTCGAGGACAGGGCCGCGTTGGGACAGACATAGTCCCGGGACGCAAAGACCGAGCCGATGGTGGCACCCTTGCCAAGATGCACATCCGGCCTCGACACTCTGAAGATCTCTGGTCTCGTTGACTTGTCTCACGCTAAAAAGCCGCTTCACCCAGCGCGCGGACGTGACGAGACTCTGACATGGCGGCGACATAGCCCACGGCGATGCCGGCTCCTTTTCGAAAAGTGGACTACGCTTCTGTGGGGATCTGCTTAGAAGATGCCCCACCCTGCCATCAGGGACCCTGCAGGCGAAGGGCGGGAGAGGTCTCGGAGCTGCTGCTCTGTCTTCTCGTCGATGTCGTCTGTGTACAAGTGAACGGGCCTTGCAAGGGAACAGGTCTTCCAGAACTGCTGGCATCCGCAGCCCGAGAATGCAACACTCCTCCAGGGACGTCCAGCTTCACCTGAAAAAACGCAGACTTGGAAAGGACAAGCGAGCCTTTGTAGCCTCTCCTTCGTATCTGAGGCCCTGGGCCGGAAAGTCGATGGACTTCTTGCCGAGCCTGCGCCCAGCAGCACAGCATCACAGCAGCACAGAAAGAACAAAGATCTCTCTGAGTGCCAAGAAGACCTCCGCACAGGCTTCGGGGAGCGGGATTCCGGCGGAGAGCTGCCGCTCGCCGTCTGGAGACAGGAAAGCCAAGGCTGAGCGGAGCAGAGGGTGTGGGGGGGGGGGGGGGGGGTGCGCTCTTGCGGTGCGCATTTTTGCTCATGTCCATGGGTCTGGAGATGCGCTCGCGCTCCTTTCAGGTGTTGTGCTCGTGGCCGGCTTGGCGGTGGAAGCGGGGCTTTCTTTGGCCGCGGCGCGGCGCCCGCTCCCATCTTCGCCCTGGCCCTGGCCGGCCCGGCTGCAGGTCCTGGGAGGGAAATGCCTCGGCGGGGGCGGGGGAGGAGGTCTTTGCTCTTCTCGAGTGGTGGAGCGAAGGTGCGACACCAGGTGCCCAGTGCAGAAGCTGCCAGACGCAGCCGCTGGCGGATCGGAAACGGCACAAGGATTGCCACGGGAGCTTCGTCTGCCGTCGGAAGACGGAGGAGGAGTCGCCGACGAGGACGTAGGCGCCTTGGACGAATTTCTCGCGTGCCTTCAACAAGTGGCCGAAGCGCCGGTAGAGCGACGCAGCCTCGGCCGTGGGGCCCAGGCCTCGACTTTCGCTTGGCATCTTTGTCAGAATCACGCATCCAGATAGGAAAGGGGCGATCTCCTCAAAGCTCGAAACGTTCAAGGAGACCTCCAGGTTCGAGGGAAGGAGATTTCCGAGCCTTTCTTCTCTCGAACTGAAGGCCCTCTCCCGAACGGACGCCCTAGCTGCCCCAGCCGCCGCAGCAGCTGCAGCGGCCGCAGCGGCAGCGTCCGGGTCCGAAGGGTTGGGCACGTCGCCTTCGAGGCCGGCCTTTCGGAGCTTCGGAGTTTTCTTGCGCCTCAAGGAGCTTTGGGGGGCCGTGGCGGCGCGGTTTGCGGCGCTGTCTTGTCGGCTCTCCTCAGGCTCCAGGATGGTGGGACCCTGCAGCAGTCTGGGCTTGGCCGGCTCGAGCTGCTCGGGCCGCTCGGGCCCTTCGCGCCCCGTGACCTCTTTCCGGTTCCACTTCTTCAGCTCCTGCAGCTCCCCTTTGTAGAAGTCGCAGAAGTGGAGCAGCCGCTTTCGTGCATCTTGGACGACCTCCATGCTCCGGTCTGAACCCACGAAAGTCACGTCGCTGGCTGCCGGCCTTCTGAGCATGCTGGAGGATTTGACTGCTTCCACTTGCCAAGGCCGTAGCTTGGCGCACGGAAGCCGGTCGGTGGCTTTGACGGGTGGAAGCTGCAGCATGGCGGACAAGAGCTCCAAGAGAACCTGTCCGTTCCCACAGAACGGGTCCCACACAACCATGCCATCTGAGAGGCGCAGCTGCGACACGAGGGCAGCGACGAAGGTGCCATCCACTGCCTGCTTCCTGGCTTCCTTTCTCTCAGCCTTGGGCTCAGATTCCTTCAACTGTTGTACTGCCGACGCAAGCATCCATGTGGGAGCTGTGGGCCGTGGCTCCGCCTCCTCCGCTCGTTCCAGGCTCCGGTGCACTTCGCGAAGGCCCAGGCGGGAAGCACAGAGCAGCTCCAAGGAGCAGCGGTTTCGAAAGAGCACGGCACGCAGGAGGCAGGGACGGCGACTTGGGCCCGAAGCTTCTCGGCGCGGCGCTCGCTCCTCTAGAGCAGACAAGAGCTCCTCGGCATTGAGGCGGCTTTGGCGTTCCCAAGCGGCAGTCCGAAGCGGTTGGCTTGGGGCCAGGAAGTGGTCCCAAGGAACTTCCGCCAGGGCCTCCTCCAACTGCTGCGGCGTCTCGCAGTCAAAAGGCTCCCCAACTCGAACCCAGATGCTCTGTGCCAGCCTGCATCCCAAGATCCAATGCAAGACATTCCAGGGACCCAAGACTTCCACAAGACCCTCAGCCTCGAGGCCCTCAGGTGATTCAAAGGCGCCGCCGGTCTTCGGCTCTTGTCTGGCGCCTCCTAAAATCACGGAAGAATCCTGACCTGGAGTCCGCTGCATCTGCAGCATCTGCAGTTCGGCCCGGAGCAAGGGCTCCAAACCCAGCCGCCCACGGATGAGCCAACTGTAGGATGCAAAGCTCTCCTTGCACTCCTGGCCCGCGGGGCCCGGGCCCGTGACGTAGCGGCGCAGCCGCATCGCCATGCGCGACCCGGGCACGAACACGCTCTTCATGACAAGGGGATGTTATAATGCGTACATGTCCCATTAAGAAAGCGTCTCTTATACTTAATGAGCAATATAGTGGCCGATGTGGTTTGAGGCAAGCGAGCCGCAGTCCGAATGCTGACAGAGCGCGCTCTCGGCGACACCCGACTGAGGCGAAGGGCGCCTGGTCATCCGCTGCAGGGGCCCCGCGCCTGGACACAACAGCTGATGCCTTTACGGTGAAGCATAAGATAATATAGGGGCTTTAATTAGAATGGGGTTGGGGGGCCCATTATACTATCAGTGCCCAGACATATCCACATCGAAAACAAAACAACACTGGTGACATAGGCATTGGGGACTCAGGGCCTGCCCAGCTGTCTGCACAAGATGCACCCATTATTTGCCTGACGAAAGCCTTGCCACCTTTCGCCTTTGTTTCATGCGAGGTTCATGTTTCTGCGCAGCCGATCATGTCAAGATTTGCAAAAAACAGCGTGGCTCTGGCCCTGGGTCACCTCTCGCGGCGAGCTGCTCGTGCATTTGGGAGGTGATCTTCTTCGAAGGCGAGCCGATTTCTGAGCCTGCGCCACGACGGTCGCATCGTTGCTTTGGAGTGAAGCTAACTCCGAGATTTGGGCTCTGGCCAGTCGGGTGACGGGCGAATCGGGAAATCGAGTCGAAACCGGCAAGGACCGAGTCAGAAATTGCGAAGGTCCGAGTCGAAATCAAGCCGCGAGGCGCACCTCATCTCTGCAGCTTTTTCCGACCCTGCCGAGACTCCGTGATCCCTCAATGTGAAGGTTCTGCCGGGCCCCGCCAAGACCGCTTCCCGACAGAAATGTAACAGGTATGTCCTGGGCTCGCCTGCATAAGCGCATCCCAGCCCCATCGCCCATGTTTGTCACTCTGCCCACTGTTTCATTGCAACTTTTGCTTCTTACGCTCTTCATTCCTATGGGAGGGAGGAATTCGTGCTTGTGTAGAAAATTGAAAAAGTCCCGGTCAAGGGAAAAACGAACAGGGCAATTGTTGATGAAAACAAAACGTTCAAATTTGCCTTGTTTATTTTCTCAAATTTTCATAATCGGTTTGTGCCTCCTCCATCATTTACATGTCTCGGGCTTTTGTGTCATAAAGTATGTATTTCTAGGTTTAATGTGTCTCATCTTATTCATTGATTGCTTGCCTCAGGGTTTCATTTTTTGTTTTCGGCTCCTGCTTCTTTCCATTTTCAAAAGCAGCTAATATTCTAAATTCTGTTAGTTATAGTCTTATTTGGTTTTCAGGTAGTCGTCTGTTGTAACTTCTGTACGGTCTTCTTATGCTTCGGTTTATGTGGTGGTTTGGCGACATGCAAACTGATAAAGTTTGTCCATGGAATTCTTCCGTTATGTATGTTGTTTCATTAACTGCTTGTTTTTCGTAGTCAGCTTGGCCTTTCACAATGTTTTCGCATTACTTCAGGCCTTATTTATGGTGGCTTTGCTCGAAAACAGCTCCTACGCTGAAAACTAGCAATCTATTTATTTCTTTCGTCTCTCTGTCCCTTCGCTCCTTGATGCTATAGCCCATGCCATTCTACTCATGTTTGCCACCGTGGTTCATCTTGAATTGCGAAACTCGGTTTCACTCATAGCCATTTTGGATTTATAGTTACGATAGGTAGTTATCATGTTCACACGGTTCAGCATATAAACATATCCATTAACCCTTAGCTGCTTGTAAAATTCGTATGCTCCGTTACATAGCCAAAAACTGCACTACAACAGAACACGCGGCTGTGATGCTATCGTGATACGTTTTATCTATGACATAGAAATTTAACATTTCTTTTTCACAATAATACCGTTTATCCAAACTCCAAGCCTAAAGCTTCATTCAGAAAACAAGTGTTGTAATCGGGAAAAGGATTTCCTTTTAAGCTCGCACCTAAAGCTATAAAGTCTGTTGCTTTGGGATATTGTCGGATGAAAGTATTTGGCTATTCTGGGTGCTGGCTGGCTTAAGCTCGCCGTTAGGGGTGGCTCCGTATCATTCATAATACCGTAAGAAATTACGAATGATCGAGCACAAAACTTGGGTATGATTTCGTGCATTCATTATAATGTAATCTTAATATACTTCCTTGGTTCGTAATGCGTAATGCGGTGCATGATTCGTTTAATGCGACTGAGTTGTACGACAACATCAAACTCTTGAAAATACTTATAGCAGACAACTACTGTGTTACAAGGTATCTCAAGCATTTTTTTGAACTTCGGTGCAACGGCATCTCCTGGAAAATGTACACGCAGGTATGTCTAATAATATTTCGCCAACTGCATCAGAAACTAAAGGAAGTTAGACCGTACAGCTGGTATTATTTCTTATACGTTCCTGTGTCTTGCATCAAACTAAGTATATTCATTAAAACAACTAAACTTGCAACTCTAGCGAAAGGCGCCGAATATCTGTTAGCTAAACTTTCTGTGTAACGACTCTTCCAGCCTTTATTGCATCCTCGTACTAACTCTTCGTACTACCAATCCTCTTTCAACATCAGAATATGAAGCAGGCAATTTTGCCTCTTCACTCATCAGTACCTAGTACACCACTTCATGTATTACTTGGTCTATTAGCTCCTTTTCCACCTTTTCCTCGTACATGCTTTGCTATGTTGCGATGTCTGATGTTTTGATTTGTTAGTTCCGCTGTGTATGACGATTCCGCACTTTCACAATCAGTAGGTATATCTTCGGTGTTATTTTGTTGAGTAAGATAGCCTTCTCTCTCCCTCTATTCATGTGATTATGCCCATCTTTTGAAACTTTCTTCTTATGCTTTCTTGACGTCCTCTTCGGGTGGTGCGCTTTTCTCCGCTCTCCATCACTCTATCACAGTTAAGTTTTTTCCGGGCAGCTGGTAGCCATTGGGGAATTTACCTACTTATTGACCTACCGCTTCCTCTGGAGCGAGCTTCTGCTTCAGAGATAATCTACAATTTCTTGCGAACGCTTTGAGCTAGCACCTACGAGCGGGCTTGCTTCGTCAACATATTGTTTTCGATCGGAACGTTCAAAACTATCAACGATTTACTTGTGGGGTGCCAATAACTGATTTTCAGCGTTGGGTAATGAACTTCTACAGGAGCTTGACTTGACAGTATGGGGCGATCAGTCTATTCATTTTGTGGCGCAGCATCGCTTTCTTTGCGTTTTCTTCTTCTTCATTTGCTCTTCTAACTCCATTTCCTACTTCCTCTTCTTCTTTACCCCGCACTATGGCTGCTGATACTCATCTTTTCATGTCGTGGTTCCGAAGGAGACAGATGGCATAACTGTACTAGATGCTTGAAAGGAATCCTTTGGAAGTAATGTGACATCCACAGTCAGTTTATAATGACGATAAGGGCGCACTGAATGATAAGGCATTACTCACGATATCTTAAAGAGGAAGGCCTCATACATAACAGAACTACTGTTACCCCACGCAAACGTTGCTGAGAGAATGAGAAGAACACTGAAGAAGATGTTAGGCGGCGGAGCAGAAGTTCATCGGGGAGCTTAGAGGATAATGTTGAAGCCGGCTTTAGATTCATGTAACCGCAAAACGGTGCATAGCACAACAGAGATGACACCGAATGAAACGCATAAAGACAGGCATCAGAAACAAGAAACAAGTACAATCTACCTCGGTACTGAAAGAAAACGGTTTACGAACACATCCTAGCATTAAAACACGCGACACGGAAAAAAACTCAAACAAAACGGAGTGGCAATTACACAGGTGGAAAAATCAAATCTGGAGTGGGTGGAGTGAAAAAACACTTCATGAAGTGGAGAATGCTGCAAGAAACGTACAACTGAATAAGTACTGTTCTTGATTCTTCGGCTCTTTTTCAGAAAGGTACACTGAGGCGGCCTGTGTTTCTCTGGCATGGTGTTGCGCAATTTTGGATGGAGGATGGTTGATTCATTCTGTCGCTACTCTTGTCTTTACATTCTTGATTTCAGAGCTTTATGACTGAACTTTTCATGGTTGAAATCAGCCTTCCATTCGTGATTTGATCTAAGCCTTCACACCAACTGATGCCCAATACTGTTTCCGTTTAGCGCTAGTTGGCAGTTCGTTCAGGATTTCATCACTCCAAAAGTCTCTACTGTGGTTGAAACTTTGGCCCTTTGCACCACATCTCGTCATCATAACTTGATCAGGGTCATCTTCTCCTGCGAAAACGCAGTTTTGTTCTGGAGCCGCTGTTTCTGATTCATCATCATCATCATCATCGTCATCACCATCACCATCACCAGCACCATCACTATCACCATCATCATCATCAGCATTATCATCGTTTTGCTTCGGTTGCTGTGGTGTTGGTGGTATTGAAGTGGAGGTGTTGACCAAGCAGCTCTGCTTCCTTCGTCGCTCAGGTGGCAGCCGTCGGTGAAGAATGGATGACCTCTTCAATAATTGAAGAGGTCGCCTGCTTTCGGGGTTTGGGTTTTAGTGTGGACGGTTTAGGGTTCGTGGGATTTGTGGCTTCCTACCACCTTTCGCATCGCTCGCCTGTCCTCAGGGTTTGGGTTTTAGTGTGGACGGTTCAGGGTTTATGGGATTTATGGGTTCCTACCGCCTCTCACGTCGCTCGCCTGTCCTCGGGGTTAGGGTTTAGCTTGGCCGTAAGGTAATAACAGGGGGCAGTAAGCGGATGGATGTGCTGACAAAGAATCTCCTGAGATTGGATTGTCAGTTTACCGAATAAGAGTGCTTTCAACTGTCTGGTAAAGCAAAGATACGGCGTATGCGCCCGTACGGGCACCGCTCAAGTAGACATGCTCCTCGACCCGCCAACCCATGGCGACGAGATTCGGTCTTCTTTATGACTATCGCAAACATCAGCACAACTTGTTGCAGTTTTGGTTTGACTGCGCGCGGCCGCCTACGCAGACTTTACTCTACAAAAAACCTACGCGGGACTACGCTCCCCAGGGAAGTGGCTACGCAAGCACATGAATACGGCACGCCTTTGCATAGCGCAGACACGGCAAAAAAAGCGCTACTCAATTGCGAGGTGAGGCCCGGATGTATGCTGCGATGCTTGCCTGGTTGGCGAGCGAACTCCATAATCCGCGAGCTCATCTGCCCGACGATCGGCGAACGACTGCAGCACCTCCAGGTTCGATATTCGTGCGAGGCTGGCGTATGCTTGCGACGGCACCTCGTATTTGCCGGCCGCAGACATGACCTCGCGTTCTTCTAGCATGTACTCCCGTGCGACTGGCGCGCGCAAGGCACAGCGACAGTCCTGGAGCTGGCTGACGGCAAACGTAGGCGCTGGAAGGCCGAAGCGAGGGAAATCCTCGATGAGGTTGTTGAACTAATTGGAAATGATGCTGATCTGTCTGGGAGTCTATCGGTGATATTGTTGGGAGCCTGTCGGTCACATGGTTGGGTGAATATCGGTGATATCTTGGGAAAGCTTTAGCCGCTTCATATTTTACGGAATACGAATACAAACGAAGCCATGTACAAACTGTAAGCAATACAGAAACCTAGACAAGTTAAACGAACCAGCGCACCCACAGGGTGCTGAACTGGTGGGTGACCAGCCCAGCAAAATGAGTGGCCACTTCCAAAGCCATGGCCTTCCACGGATGCTGGTAACTCACGCCGCACGCGCACCTCATGCCGCGTGCCTCGAACCAGTCCGCACCCGCGGCCGTGGCAGCATAAGGGGCTGGAAGCCACCACGCGCCCAAAACGTGGCTGCTTTCAAGTCCAATGGGACTGTGACGACGTAGCAGCCACGTTTTGACAGGCTCAGGCGGACTGCCGCTTCAAGAAGCGCAGTGCCACCGCCTTGGCCCTTCGAGCCGACTTCCTTGAGGCATAGGCCAGCAAGGCTGTCCTCGAGGGTGCATCCGCCCAGAATTGCTGGGCCACCCTCGTCGGCTCTGGTGGCGACAAGGAGGGCTTCAGAGAGGCAGAGTCCACCTGTGCCATCATGCCGGAGCATAGGTCTGGAATACCGATGGCTCACTTGCACCCGTATTGGCCGCTTTCCGCAAAATGCGCCTTTTTGGAGACCGCGGAAAATGACACCCCACTCCGCCATACTCTTCTGCACCCGCGCATACGTCAAGTTTCCCCAAAGCACATTCGGGAAAAGTGCCGCGAGCTCACCATCACAAACACTACCTTCCCTGCCAAGTCAATGCTTGGGCCATCGTCGTAGATTTAGAGAGAACCAAAAATATCAAATGAATCAAAAGAAGGCTGTTGCTTTATCGTAGATGTTTTGTACATACATATAAACTGAAGGAACAGAACAACTCCATTAAACATCGGAAAAAATGAAGAACCTGGCGAATTATCTTAGAAAACACTTAGTAACAGGAAGGGGGAGAGCCAGGGAAATACATGGCACATGTCTGTGAAATGGTAAAGGCGGGTATCAACCATTCATAAAATGCTCATCGCAGTGTTAATACAAGTGTTAAACCAGCCACCACATAATACCTAGCCACAAAACCAAACACAGATCACAACAAACGACTACCTCAAAACCAAATAAGACCAGACCAAAATCTAGAACATGAGTTGCTTGGGAAAAGCAGAACGAATAAAGCAGAAGCCAAGACCAGAACAAATGAAATATACACCTAGGGCAGAAAGTAAAGATTGAGATGCCGGATGCCGACACTACACCAAGAAGTAACTCCTTTAACACACGAACGCCGCGGACAAATACATGATGGAGGAGACAACAACTGATCTGGAACTTTGTGAACACGAATAAGGTAGGCTGCGATGGATTGTTGGTAAATGTGTGCCCGGGATGGGTGGTAATTTGCGATTTTGTAGAAATTGAGCCAGTCAATGGGGACTGTAAAGCAACTGTTGATAACCAACTACGAATGAAGAAGGTAAGAAGACAAAGTAACAATGAAACACTGGGTTGAGTGTAACAATGGGCGAGGGCTGGAATGGGATTTGGCAGGCGTGCCCCAGGACATACCTGCTACAAAACATGCCTCGGGTCCTTGCTGTTTTCGACTCGCCGTAGCTTCAATGCCTCTTTTCCCGACTTGACTCTCACTGCTGGCCAGCACTCCTGGCCCGTACAACAAGTTCGATGGTTGCACGAATACTCACACAACCGGGGTGTAAGTGTAGTCCACAAGAGTTTCAGGTCTTTAACTTTCTTTCCAGAGACTACATCCTCGGAAGAAGCCGTTGCAAGGGTTCGGTGAAACCCTCCGCAATTCTGACTCCTTTGCCCCCCAACCGGCCAACCAGTGCCTGGAAGCACGGCGAAGACCGGAAAGGAGTTTCATTCCGCACGTGCGAGCATCGTCGTCAAGAATCGGCTCTGGCTTTTCGAGGACGTGGGCTTTCGGGCTTGGGCTTTCTTTGCTTCTGACGCTGCCATCCACAAACGTCATCTGTTTGCCTATGTAGATGCCTAGAAACGTATGAGTAGTATATAAGTATATATAACATACCGTCGTTACGTCGTTACTATTGCTGCTGGAGCAAGACATGCATTCACCCGCTGAAAGACATGAAGTGGCCTAGATGTGGTGGACATCGGTACTAGTTACTACGTAGGGTTAAAGGGGGGGGCTGGGTTCACTCAGGGGTTTTTGGTTCTTGAGGACTTAAGGTGATGCCTGCGAGCTCTTGCGCTTGACCAGGGCGGCAGGACCAACACCAGACAATCACAAATTGAAGCTGACAGCCACGCAGTTCGGGATCTGCAAATCACCGGTTCGCTGCTGCAAGCGGGGCCTGACGAAGGGCCGAGAGGGGCCTTTCTTGGATTCGCTTGGGTTTAGGGCTGAGGCTCTCTCGTACAGCGATGGGGTAAGCTTAGGGGAACAGTTGGATTCGCTAGGGTGCAGGGTGTGCAGGGTCCTTCGTTCCGTGACGAACGTTCGGCAATTCCAGGGGAGAGGGGAGCAGAGGATGACGGATTGAGAGATGCTAAACTGCTAAACAGGTTCTTCGGTGTGGAGTCACCTCCGCTGTGCACTGTTTTCTTTGCCGCGAGCGCTGTTGCCCTGCGAGTATATGACTGGCTGCTGGCCACTAGCTACTAGCCGCTCTCGGCTCTGGCTGACGAGGGGATGGCGGCAGTGGCTGCGCTGCGGCTGCGCTAGCCGCGGCAGCTGGAGGTCCATGCAGCCTGGAGAGAGGCTGTCAGAGGCTGAGACGCGGTTGAGAAAAGCGGCCTCGCTCAGAGATCGTCGTGAGATGCGGCTCCGTGCAGCTCCTGACAGCGGATGACCGGCTTTCGTTTGCACGCAAGAGAGAGCTGTCCGCTGTCTCTCTCTCTCTCTGCTTTTGCTCACGGCGGGACCGTGTGCTTGCCACGTTTCAAAGGACCCCCCCTCCCCCTTTCGGGCCTTTTCGATGAGCTTGGTGTAGGCCTTAACGCTAACGGATACCGATACGGCCAAGAAGCAAAACGGCATGAGCCGCGTCCCGACCTCCTGCAACCAAGCTCCGAGGCCCTGACGCTCTTCCCACCTTTTCGGTTGAAGTCCTCGATCTGTGCAAAGTTCCTGCGTTTCGCGATCAGCCTGCACGAGTTGATGTAAACGGCAAGCGGCTCTCGCCCAAGGAATCTTCAAGGCCAGGGCTTCTCCAAGGCAGGGGGATACTGACCTCAGCCGAGACATGGAGACGATGCCTCACTGAAACATATTGGAGATGTAAAACGCCAGGCCCCAAGCCAACGCAGTACCAACTGCCCGGGGCGTCGCAGACTCGGTTCTTCGGGTCGGCAACCTCGGAAAGGAAAGGGGAGGGAGGCGGATCATCTCACTACATTCCGCTGCTCCATGTCACAGGCTATCCAGAAGGCTCGGCTCTGCAGAGTTTTCTCACAGGTCGCAGCACGGGCGCGCCATAGCCTGAGATAACCTGCAGCGAAAAATGGACTGACTCAGACTTTGTGGAACACGGCAACCCCCCTTTCAACCTTCTGCAGAAACACCTCTCGGTGCCAATTCAGTCAAGCTAGCTGACTGCATGTGGTGCCTCCAAATGTCGGAGCAATGCGCACTGAGGGCCGTAGCCGTAGTCCTTAAAAGCCTATACAGTGCCTATACATAATCCCAAAACTCCTTCAAAGAATCCTCAATCTCAAAACTCCCAACCCCCCCCCCCCCACCCCCCGTGTGTTTGGGTCTGCCGGTCTGCCTGCTTCACGGCGCTGTTCCAGGGAGCTTGGGAAGCAAAAACCCGCGCGAAGCTCATGGAAGCCAGAATGCGCCGTCCCCGCAAAGATGCAGCAGCCGGCGCCTCGCCTCAAGAGAAGAGGAAGAGAGAGAGCCAGGCTCGAGCCTATCCACTGGGTCGAGGTGAGGAGCAATCGGAAAACAAATACACTCCTCAAGATTTTGGGCTTTCGGTCCCCATAGCAATGCGACCTGGCCACGATCTCTCTGGGCGAAGACGTCCGTGGCGAAGGGTTGCGTGCGGTGCGCCAGCTTGCCATCAAAGACGATGGCATTCCCACGAGAGTAGCGGTGAACGCAGCTCTGGCCGGGCGAAGCGTCCCACGGCAGGATCTCCTGAAAAGCACCCCTCCTCACCACAAAAACACGCTGCAACAACCAGGATGTAGCACGAAGCCGCGTCTAGGATGTACCCAGCAGATTGTATGCAATAACAATAACAAGACAAAAAGTGGCCCTGCACCGCTTCATAAATGGTTTGTGTCGGGCCCAGGCTCCAAGTTGCCCTGGTCTTCCGGGAACTGCCTTGGGTGCACTGGCAGCAGCGCCGTGCAGGCGGCGCCGCGCGGGATCGGCGGGGGCCCGAAGTCCACGTGGAACTTCGTCGCCGAGTCGGCGCAGCCGCCCTCATCAAAAGTCGATGAAAGCAAACAGAATATAACAGAGCAACCACAACAACGACAACAACCAAAGAAGTCTCGCGTGCAAATGATGATGTACGTAGTACGTGTCGCATGATGCCTCGGCGACGACGAAGGAGGCGGCGACCAAACCCCACTCGTCTCCCAGCTGTTTCAAGACCTCGCGAGGCGAGGGGTCGGCATGCGGCGACGACATCTGGGAATCTAGGCAGCCACGCGCTCTATCGTTATCGTGATAGCTATGACTCCAGTTTCAGCGTACTAGGAGGCATGGCAAACCGTAAAATGTGCCGAGGCGCGATTCTTGCCGCCGCTGCAAAGGCCTCCAAACCCTGGTCATTTTGAGCCCAGTGCCAGGACATTGTGTCCGGAAAAGCCACGTTCAAGCCGCCGGCGCGGAGGAACGAAGGCGCGGACAGCGACGAAGGAACAGAAGCAGCAGCGTTAGCTTCTGCGGCGAGCGTCTGGCTCGCAAGATCCTCGAGATCGGCGACGAGCGCTTCGGGGATGCGGGCCACCGCCGCGCCGCGGCGCCGCAGGTCACTGCGGAAGCGGAAGCCGAAGTGCCGCTGCCGGGGCGGCCGGCAAGGAGGCTTTCGCCGCCAGAGCTGGAAGATCGCCAGCCATGGAGCCAGCAGATGCGCTAGCAGACTTGGACCACCGCGGGTCCTCTTGCGCAGCAAGGGGGTCGCCCCCCCTTTTGCCCGGACCTGGGCCGCCGAAACTCGCTCTCGCGCCTCTGCCTCTGCCCGCCCCAAGCATCCCAATCCTACTTGGGATGCCGTTGGGGTCACGCCTCGGCCCCACTGACAAACCCCTCTCATGCCTTTTTTGAGCCAGCTGCGCACGTCACAGCACACCGGCAGGCTTGAATTGCGGCATTGCGGCGTCATGAGCTTCCATAAGCCGCAGACCCAATCCTTGCTTTCTTGAGAAACGTTCATGACTTGGTACACCCGCATCAAGCCGTGCTTGGTCGTGTGGACCTTCACACGCCATGCAGGCGTAGAAGAGCTGTGGTGCAGCGCGGCAAAGTGTCCAATTGCTTTTCTTAGCCTCCTTGAAGAGCTTCTCGTTCACCTTAACTCCAGGACCTTCAGAAGAGCCCGGATGTGGTTCTCTCCACGAACTGGGCCCTGGGATGGTCTGGGGTCCTGGCTCACGTTGTGCTGGCAAAGCTTGTAAAGCAAGGATCTGCAGTAGCTGAGCGACTTGCAGCTATCAGCTCCGCACAGCTCCGCACTCGAGTTCTGCCCAGGCCTTGCCATCATCGGAGTCGGCGAGTGGTCCTCTGCCAGGAGGGGCACTCCGGGCATCCCGCGGCTGCCCGCCGCTCACCGAGGCCGAGGCAGCGTAGAAGCTAAACTTGTTGCACTTGGGGTCGTCGTCTCCGCAATGGTCCGGAAAGACGGAGTTTCCGATCCTGCAGCACCAAAAAAAACCGCAAAAAAGAAGACACATGTCCTTTTGAGAACTCCGTCTCCCGGAAAATGGGCCTCGCCAAGTGCGGCGACTTCGCCAGGTCGTCGCCGCCACCTCCGGCCCAGACCTGATACGGAAAAAAAGAGCCGCCCTTGCTATCTATATAATTATATATATATATATAATAATAACTGCCCGTCTCAAAGGGGCCCTGGCGAGGACGTAGTCTGCCATGTGCCGGATGGCATTATGGGCCTCTCAAAAAAGACAACTCAGATGTGAGAGCTCACCTGGCAGCCGTTGCAGTCGCATGCCTTCTTCTCGCTGCTGGTCAGCGTTCGGCCTGAGCCGCCAGGAAACTCATCGGTCCCCTGCGGCCACGAAACAGTTCTGCGGGCTGCCCACCCAGGGTAGCGATGTGCTCGTGGTTCCACGTGTTGCCTCGACGGCCATGCGTCTGTGGGAGCATTCTCGGAGCAAGCGCGGGCACGGGCCGTCTGCAATGGAGGTCCTCCTGGCAATGCCCGTGATCTGGTAGCCTCGTGATCGGCCGTGATTGGGTGAGGCCCTCTCATGGACGCTTCGTGGCTCGGGCCGTAATCCCACCAAGCCATGACCCGCGAGTCTTTCGGTGTGTTCTGGTCTATCCACTGGTATCCTGCAGGTGTCTGTGCTTCCACGAGCAGCTTTGGGTCCGTCAAAATCTTGCCTTTCAGGTAGTCGTCCACTATGAAGCTGTTGCCCTGTCTGTCGCGCCTCAGGTATCGGCAGAGCTGAGAGCACTGGCACAAACGTTCACAACTCATCATCGTCACATCATGTCGTGGACTTTCTTTGGGCACAGGCGACATGAAGACCACTTGTGGGTTGGAGAGTGACCTTAGATTGGCGTGAAGGAGGTGAAGAGAGCATGCCCAAGAGCAACAGGCTCTGGTCCTATCTGGGCCTGGCACCTGGCTACTTGATCACAGTGCCGGATGAAAGTCGGGATTTTCACGGACAGAGAGCTGATGTAGACGGCCTCAGAATCCAAGCAAAGGCCCTCGCTTGTGTGTGCCTTTGCATTTTGCAGCAGGAATTGTGTGTGCGCGTGTAAAACCTGTACCTGAGGAAGTGATAGTCAAGTTTTGTACGTTTGCTGAAGTTGAAGAAACTAGATGAACATATTCACAGGGGGACTGGCTACCCATGCACGTGCCAGTCCAACGAAGAGGCTTGCATTGGATGCTGATATCCGGCCTGATTAACCGGACGCGCTTGCGAAGTTTCACTACCTGCTGTGCAAATAGGATGAGAAGCATGAGTCCATCAAAAAGAAAAACTGTACCGCATTTACATCTCTACATGATCTGGGCACAGTTCAGTGCGATCGGACAGGGTTTTGCAGGCTCAATCTTCAATAGTGTTATCACTAGCATCAATGTATGCATGATTGCATGCAGGTACACATCTACACATATAGAAATAGGCAGCTAGCTCAGCTGGCTGGCTAGCTAGCTAGCCAGCTAGGATAGTTGGCACACAGACACACACAACCACATACGTACACGTGCACCTGCCATTTCTACAGGGTTCTTGTAACGGCGTAGACGTGTATGTAGTATGTACGTTCAACTATACTCTGTCTTTCACAAGCACCTGGAACGCTTTCTGAACATGGTTTTCTGAGCGACCCACGTAGAGCAGTACTACCAGGGAGATGACCCCCCGCCCGGCCACCACTCCGGGGTTGTTGTCCTTGGACTTTCAAGGACTGGACTTGGAGGTGCGGAAAAGAAAGGGGTTGTGCAAGGAGACCGCGCATTTGAAAAAAGGGTAGAACAATTCTAGGTCCTATAGGTTCTGACAGACCCTTATAAGACAAGGACTCCGCAGACTCCGGAAGCCCTCAGCCGCGAGAAAAGTCAGGGCCTTTCGCTGAGGAGGGCGCCATGGTGGCCCTGATCTCCCGGTAGGCTTCCTGGATTGCGTGGTGCGGACATTGCCCATGACCCTTTAAGCTTCTGTCCGTGTATTTCTTGTAAGCAGCCGAGGCGATAAGTGACGTTTATGACTTGTACAGATATACACCCACATGGATCGATAAATCTATGTGTGCGTGCATGTATGTATGGTGTGCATGTATTTGTTCGCAGGTAATTATATTTGTGTGTGCACGCCGTAGCTGCATGCTTATGCGTTTTGTGCATATGATTTACACTAGTGTATGTATGCAGAGTAGATATATATATACACACACACACACAGCTACACACCTACACGTCATCTTACGCGGGATCGGGGCCGGGGATGCAGGCTTTCCGCCAAGTGGCGATTCCGTCGTTCTGAGACTTTCGCATCTGGCCTCGGAGGGGGTCCAGGGTGGCTTTCGCATCCGTAGAAGCTGGCGCTTCTGGCGACGACGAGGCTGCGGCTTGACTCAACAAGCTAGGCTCAAAGATGACGAATAAACGATCAGATTGAAAGCTAAGAGCTAGAATTCTGCTCTCTTCTTGCGATTGCAGCTCTTGCTTTCTGCTCTATTGCTGAACAACTGCTACTGCAGCTACAGTGGCGGCGGTAGTAGTAGTAGTAGTAGTAGTAGTAGTAGTAGTAGGAGATGTATAGAACATGTAGTAGTCTACTAGTAGTCGTCGTCGTCGTCGGAGTGCCAGCAGAAGTAGTGGTCGTGATCGTGGTCGTCGTCTTATTCGGGGTCGGTGTAGCAGTAGTCGTGGTTGTGCCCGGCTTGTGGCCCCGCCTTCGAAGATGCGCAGCAGCTGGTTGGCGCCACCTGGGCGCTGGTCCTCCTCCCACTCCTTCAATGCAAAGTCGAGGCATTGCCAATGGACAACACATACATGTCTGTACACATGCACACACAACGATATGTAGAAATGCACAGGCTTTCATGAATATGTTGTTATTCTATCGTATGCGCACTAGAAGCATCCTACCATGGCCGTCTGCGGGTGAGCCGGCCCGAATCCACTCCTCCAGGGTCCAATCGAGCTCCGCCTGAGGCGAACACTTTCCGACCGTCTATTCTTGGGTTTCCAACTGCTGTTACTGTTACAGTACCTTTAGTCCCTTGCTCTCGTGGCAGCCGCTTTTTCATTCAATCTGTCGTCCTTCAACGATCTTCTTTTAAGAACGGGGGGTTTTGCTTAGGTGCGGCACTTGACATGGCGAAGTCCGGCACAGTGAGTACGTGAAGTTGTCACGGGCTAGTCATGAAAACAAGAAACGAGCCAGACCGGACGAATCCATACATCTCGGATCTACGGAAGTTCCGCAGTCGGACGTTTCATCCCTGCGTGATGTGACAGAACAAAAGAGCGAAAGAAAGAGAGAGAGAGAGAGAGCTCTTTGCGCCGGGCCGGTGAAGAGCTGGAAGCCTTCTTGGGGGCTTTCTTCGCCTTTGAACCACTGGATCACAGTGTCCTTTTGATTCGAACTCCGGCTTGCAGCGATCTGAGCACCGAGCCTTGCCGCTGTCCTGCCAGCTGAGCCCTTCCCGATTGCAACTAGAAGGACAGTGACTGATAATATATATATATATATATACATATGTATATATATATATATATATATGTAAATATGAATATATGTATATGTATATATATATATATATATATATATATATGATAGTGATGGGGAGAACATGCCCCCGAGCTTTTAGATGCGAGGATGGCAGTCTCAAGTCCTTGAAGGACAGTCCATCCCCCTCCCCCCCCCCTTTTTGCCCCAGCTTTCGTCCTTTGCAGCAGCTTTTCCCTTGGCCTCGCTCTTGCCACTCTCTGGTGGCTTCGCTTTGCTCTCCTGGCGCCCACACTCGTTTGGGGTGAAGGGTTTGACTTCTCGAAGGCTTGCCATCTCCGTGACGTGCCAACGCGCCTCGCTCGGGGGCGTTGGCGGAGTGTATCCTATGGAGAAATCTCTCCGATTTAATTTGAGAGAGACAAAGACGCGAGACTTCGCCATCCACCGCTCCTTTCTTGCCCAAGAGGATCAGGAAGGGCTCGATCAATTGGTCCAAGACGAAGCCGCACCTGCGCGAAGCCGTGGGGGAGGCCCAGCCCGGGCCCCGCCCAGGGCTTTCGGGGATCTTGGGCAGGCGCCAGATCCCACAGGCCACGGAGACGATGGGCCCACAAATCAGCACCAAACCTCAAGGAAACTTACAGGGGACAACAGAGACCTGGGGCTAAAAGAAACTCCTTGACATCGTGGCGACCGACTCCAGATTAAACTTAGGCCCGAGCGGGACATCTTACCTGAGAAGTGCTGCGCCACGAAGCCGTACAAGCAGAGGAAGAGGAAGCCGTTGTTGCGCCGCCCGAGACCTCAAAGAGATTTCGAAGCTCTGCGGAAGGGCAAAAAGTCAGGCGCGGGAGAGAGGATCAGGCACACGAAGCCGCCGAGCACTGCATAGTCCAACGGAAGGTTCAAGTAGCTGGCATACATGGATGGGTTGGCCTCACATCGACTTTCCTTCTCTAAGTTGTGCTCCTCCCTAAGGTTCTGAGGGCTGAGGCGGGCTGATGCTCTGCCACCGAATCCACCAAGGGGTTCCCTGTCTTCGTATGCTTCACAAACCTGAGCTCGCCCTCTCTCACTCTCTCTGTTCACGCCACGTGCTGGGATCATGTCTTCATTTACTGTTCCTGGGAGCTATGCAATCCTCGTATTCTCGAGGAGATTGGACCAAAGTACCTTCAGTCCGGCAGGTCCATCCCCTTCCCGCATTCAGCATTCCTCCCTACGAGCGCGAAGCTGCAAGCCAGGGGTCACCCGGTCGGGTACAACGCGGCACAAACTAGGAGAGTGGAGACGATCAGCAAAGCCACGACCTCTTGCACAGGGCGTGTTTTTGTCGTAGTGGTAGTAACCCTGACCCCATCACTCAAAAAGTAAAGCATCGCTGAGCCCTGGTTCTGCGCCTTTGCGCGGTAGATGGCAAACTCCATTCCCTGCATCTTCTGCCTCGGGGGCCCGGGACTCAGCCCGACTCAGCCTCCCCCTTGCCCACCTTCTTCTTTGGAAGTCGCAGAAAGCCAAAACCTCCCAAGTCTCAGAGCTCTTTGTCTTTTTCCGCCTTATAATTACAGTATGGTACGCCCAGGCGGCGCGTATTTTTTGGGCAGTATATAATTAAGGGATGGACTGAGGATCTCACACTCCTCTAGAGAGTCCCTCTTGCACTTGAAAGCCAGGGGCCCCCACCTGGAAGCCCATGAACACCATCAGCGGCCCGAGCCTCAGGCCGACTGCAGGCCGTGCGAGTACGTAGGCGCGCAGATGCGCGGTGCGCGAAGGGCGTCCAAAGCAAGAGATGAAGAAAAGACAAGATCGCCCACTCTCAAATTCTGCTCCCTCCTAGAGGAGTAGCGCAGCGGCCTAGCGTTGGTGATCGATGCAACTCTCGGATGAGCGGCTGTTCGACGGAGCGCAGTGGCTGGAGGCCCACCACGGGGATCTGCATCGCCCCCAGGACACCCACCTTAAAACACACGCTTCTGTGCGTTTAGCAACTCTCAAACCTGCTCGACTGTGCAGGGCACCACGTAGAAGATGCTGTAGGCCTTGTGGACCTGCCGAAGTTTGGGGACAAAGGGCGCGGCCTGGGTCCCTCAAGAGCTCAAGGGCCCCAACGCCAGAGTTGAATCGGCCGAAGGCGACCAGCATCGCAGCATGGATGCCGACCCTCGGGGTGCGATGCTCGCAGTTACGGCGCAGCGCAGCGCAGCATCGCGTGGCAGCCGAGCTGCATGTTGATCACGAAGATGTAGCCTCCCCAAGCCTTCATCTTCACAGCGCACGCGCTTCTTGGAACCTCGTCTGCCTGAGAGAGCTGCCGCCACCATGTAGATGTAGGAGAGGCCTCAGGAGCGCTGGAGCAACGCGGGAGCTGCGCTTGAAGCCGACTCCGACAGCTCGGCCAGTTGCCGGCCAGCAAGCCCACGGGCCAGTGCTTCGGCGTCCGAACGCTCAGAATCCACCTGATTTTTATGGGGAACGGATTCTCAAACAAGAAACTCTTTCTAGCCATGGTCGTCTACTCATCACAAGGGTACTGACTTGAGAAGCTGCAGCTGCAGGACTGCCGGTGCCGCCAAGCGGCAGCCAAAAGGTGGAGCAGATGGCAGTGACCGCCACGGCTTCGTTGTCGAATTCCCCTCCTACGGACCTGGGTCACATTGAAAGAAGGTCCTCATCCCTGCATGTACATAGTCTCGTGAGTCTCATGTTTGTTGGCGAGCCCGTCACCTCATCAGGTGTGCAGGGATGATGGCCATGATCAGGGTGGCGCACACCCCTGCGTTCACCTCAGCTGCTCAGCTCAGAAGCGACGCTACAGCAGGAGGGAATCTCCTCTTTAAGCGCTGATGGCCCCGACACTCCGGGAGATCTCGTAGGTCAAGAGCCCAGTGAAGAGGGACCTGTAAGATCGCGCAGATGGCTCTCCCGCAACCCCGAAGAAAGGGAGTCTGGGAGTCTATAGGCCACGATGGTTTAGGAGCCTGGCGCATAGGTGCCGAACCAAGGCGGGATCATGCAGCAGATGTCGTTGACACCTTTGCGACCGACAGTCTCCACTTTTGGAGCCTTAGCCTTAGACTCCTGTCTACACTCCAAACGAAAACTGGGATTGCCGGCTCATCGGGCTAAAGTCGTAAGAGGGCTTCAACGAAGGCCTCAGCTCTTCTCAGGGCCCTAGAGACGCCTAAAGAAACACCTGAGGTTCTTGCACGAACTTCCAGCCAGATTGCTTCAAGTAGGAGAGCAAGGGTCTCCAAGGTGTGCGCAACCCGGCCGGCTCTCTGCTCCGGATGTTTTCTCTTTTGCCCGCGGTGTGCCTCAACGCCAAGACCAGGGACGGGGTCTCCACCTTGAAGCTGCCAATCATCTTCATGGCCTCCCAGCTGCTTCGCCCCTCTCTCTTCTCTCTTCTCTCTCTGTCTCTCTTGACAACAGACCTTTCCGCACGGACTTCGGTCTTACTGCTCGTGCGCTTCCCCTCAAGCCTCCCAGATCCACACCGCAGTCATCTGCATGCCGGGGTAGATCCTGTTCACAGCGCAGCGCAGCCCTATCTGTGGAGGTATATCATGTTGCGACGCATTGTCGCTGATGCACACGCTAAAGACCGTGCCGCATCGGAGCAGAGTCTCCGGTGCTCTCTACTCAAGATGATGTGGCATGTTCGAGCATCTCACAAAACACAGCGGGCAACATGTTTCAGACACACATACTCTTGCTTGCTTGCTTGCTAGGCGTATGGAGGTTAGGGCTCGCTCTTTGCTTTGCTCGGGGTTAGAGATGATCTCTTTTCTCTCTGTCTCTCTCTGTCTCGGGGCTTTTGCCGAAATTTTTGCCCAATCTTGGCGTCTGTATGTTTGCTCGCTCCTTTCTTCATGTAAAGCATGCGCCGTGTTGTTAGCATGACGTCAAACGTATGCTCTGTATCAAGAGGCAGGTGGGCAGCTGCAACTGTTGAGATGCGCGCGCGCTCAGTTTAAGCTTTGTGTAGTTCGTCTCGAGCACTCTAGTGTGCGGCAAGCCGCCACGGCCGATGGTCACATCTGGTATCCAAGCTAGTTGCAAAGATAGATGAGCAGATCGCAGTATGCAGACCCTGCAGCGAACTCATGTGCAACGGGACTTTGGGGCTGCGGCGTTGTGCCGATTGGCCGCCCAAGTGGATACCAGGACTCGTAGTCATACCACTGGAAGAACTTCTTCCTTCAGGGCATAGCTTTTGACTGCTCTCGCCGGTGCCCTTCGACTCTGAGGGTGGGACAAGCCGTTCTCTGCGAGGTATTCTGCAGCCCGGTAGTTGAACCAAGGATCAAACCTCGTGTCTCAAGCTGGATGTCTTGATGTGACGGACGACGGATGAGGGCTTCCAAGGCTGCGGCTCGTGGATGATGTAGCCGTAGTCCTCGAGAGAGCGAGAGAGAGATGGCTGTTCAAGGGCCCTCGGAGTGTTAGCGCGCAGCCTTGATCGGATAGAGGCGGATCTCGTAGGCTGCGTATGCACCTCGCAGCGGCTCAGGGCATTGTGCACAAAGCTTGTCGGCAGACTCTGATCTCGCGGCCGTAGAGAACGAAGAGGATCTGTACGAGGATCAGCACCTGGCTGCCCCACCAGAAAGTAGTAGAGTGAATCAAGACCACGCTGAGTCAAGGGCGGCTTTAAAGGCTTGCCGGAAAGGGAAGAGCAGCGCACTCCTTGCAAAGAGTGTGGTTGCCAAGGCCAAGCTTCCATCGCGGCGGCGCTTGGCGCCGGGCATAGCTCCAAGGGCCCCAAAATTGCTCTCAAGTCAAGCCTCCGTCGCCCCAAGGAGAGCCTGAGAGCAGCGCGGAGAGGCGCGGAGAGGCGCAGCGAAGTTCTGAGGCTCCGAGGTTCTTCTTTGGCTCGCGCGCGCCCGGGCTCAAAGCGCCCAAAAAGGGCCCGGGAGCCCGAAACGCCCGAAACACGGCGACCCCCGGCAAAACTGGGCACCGCTTGAGCCGGAGAGGACCGACCATGGAAGAAAACTCTTTGCGGAGTCTCTGTTCAAGGTCAAAAGGTGCACGGCAGACAGCGGTTTCGGAGCCACGTGCAGTGGTACGATCGCGTCGAGGGACGGACTAGGTGAAAGCATAATGGAGCGGGGTGGACCACAGCCTCTCTTCCCGCAGGTAAGCTCAGACTATCTGATGGCACCAAGCTCTATCGCGTGCTGAGGATGACCTGTTGTGTTGTCTGTTCCTGCCCTTGACGTTCCTAGTCCTTGCCTGTGATATATTGAAATCCAGCTCCGCTGATTAAGGCAGCAATCTTGAATCACTTATATCCACGCCACACTATACTCATTTCCCGGCAATCTAGTTCCTCTTTCGAGAGTGCAGCTGCTATGACTAACATGTTCAATTCAATCCAGGGGTGAGGATGGGGCCCCGAAGGACCTCACATCAAAGCTCGAGAGCTCAACTTCCTCCAGGCTCGCCGGGGCGAAGCGGGAGTTGCCAGGCGACTCCTTTTCACCTATCGCTGTCTTGAAGGTTTCGGGCTGGTGCCTAGCAAGGCCTAGCACCCTCTCAGCGGAGGGCCTTCGGTCAGCAACACCAGCCCCGCCATCATGCCAAGGATGCAGAGCACGTAGCCACCGAGCTTCCACCAGGGAGCCTGTCAGAGATGGAGGCAACCATCAGCAGCTAATGGTGTGCTTGTCAGAGTGCGAAGTGTCCTAGTGCAGTCTGCAGTCTTGGTGTGCCTTATGCATAGGCACGAGCTGCCGTCGCCGTAGTTGCTGTTATGCTGCTTATGCTGAGAAGGCTGGGTCTTGAAGGTTGCCATGGTTAGAATTCTGCTTTACTCTCACGGTCATGATGATGAATATGGCCCATGGCTGTCTGCTGTCTGCAAAATGTTTTTAAACGGCTCAGTGCACTTGCTGTTGTGGATGCTTCTGGCAATGTCTTCAAGATTGGCTCTTCAGCGACTGCTCTGCGTCTTGTCACGGCCTCATCCATCTCTGCCAGAACAACGATAGCACTGAGGCTGTTGGTGACGATGTTCGACCCCATGAAGACTGTGACCATGAAGAGAGCCTGCCGGAATTACTTTTGGACTGTAGCCATGCATGGCAATGCCCCTCTTGTTCCAGAGCGCAAACTGTCGGAGACTTTGCATTCATCAACTTTGGCAGGGTGAAATCGCGGAAGTGGTGACGCTGCGCTTGGATCTGGGCATCATGGACCTAACTTGACTCACTTGACATCATGTCCCTCTCCGGCCTGAGAGAAAAATATTCAGAGCTCAGCTGTGACAAACCCTAAGGCCGCTCTTGGCCGTCTCCCGCGCCTCGTAATGCTGCAGACCCAGAGAGATGAAATAGAGGTTCGTGGTACCTGGCAAGAGGCAGTTCGCCATCGTTCTTAGGGCGTTCTTAGAACCTTCAGATTGTTTTGGAGCTCCGAGCGGCTGAAAAGAATTGCGGCGGTGGTGGCAAACCAGGACACAGGTTTCGTCCAAGCCAAACAGTTCCCACCGAAGCATTGCTCCAGCAGCACAGCCACCTCGGCTGGTCCAAAGGGGTCCCGGGCGCACTTTCCGCTGCATGCTGCAGCCGACGGGCAATCTTCGTGCACCACATGTTCCCTGCCAGCGTGCCTGTCAAATGAAGGAAGGCAGAGCTCAGTGCCATGGCCTGTTCCCGCTTTTTTCTGCCGCTTTGCCTGCAGTTGCCCCGAGGGAGAAGCCGCGGACTGCAGAACCGTTGGGATACTTCATCAAGACCAGGGTGTTGAAGAGGAACCTCGAAAGAGAAAAGAAAGAAGAAAAGAGAGAGACTCTGCTTTCCGGGGCCGAGGCCAGCCAGTGAAACAGAGACCGTAGACCATGGTCCGCGACTGCAGAAGGACATGCTGAACGTACTCAGCACTCCAGTTCACTTCGTTGATCTGCCGGAAGAACACCTCTAGGAGGAAGCAAGCAAGCGCCGAGCCGTACTGTACGGTAGAATCTTAGAAGCTTGGGCCCAGGCAGAGGTCGTGGCCGTGAAGAAAATAATCGCAGCGCTGAAGAGCCGCCGGGGCGTCAGGGTCTCTCCCAAAGAACAGGGCGCGATCAGCGTGTTCCACACAATGTCCTGCAGGGACACGCGGGGGTCCGGACCCTAATCACTCGTCATCTGGCCCTAAAAGCCCTCACAGGCAAGACAAAGGAAAGGCTGTTTTCCAGCGGAAGAGATTTGGGGAGAGGCAGCAAAAGAGAGCGTGGGGGGCGGGTCCATGCCGGTCACCGGGGCGATGACCGAGGCCGGCGCCAGCGCGTAGCCGGCGACGTCGCAGGCCGGGTTCAAGGCCACCTGGAGCGCCAGGCCTCGGCTCGGCTTGGCGAAGGGGCGACTCGGCGTGACGGCGGGGAAGGGCCTTTTGAGGGTACTGTAGGGCCTTTTTGAGGGGGTCCTTATAGGACTTAAACAGCACCACTTCAGTGGGATTTTTCAGCCTGGGAGCCGGCAAGGAGGAGGAAGTTCCCCTCCTTCTGCTTCCGCCTCTCTTTGGCCAGCTTGGAGCAACGAACCATTTGCTTGCCGATGGTGCCGGCCAGCGTGCCGAGGACGGCAAGGCATACCTTCGACAACGCGACTCCCCTGAGCCCCTGACAAGACACCCCTTCTTTTAAAGGCCATCTATCTATATATATATATATACATATATATATACATATGTATAGATATACTATAAATTCCCTAATCAACTTATGGTGCTCTTCTCGCCCAGGTGCTCCCAGAAACCAATAAGAATTGCTGTTACCTTCTGGTAGCACTTGGACTTCATTGCCCGTTCCAGACACATTCATTCCACAGCTGCTGCGAGCATCCCATCACAAACCGGCGGGACTCGCAGTGCTCCGGTTCTCTGCAGCCGAAAGCTTTTGCCATCCCATGCAGTTTCAAGCCAGGGGCATGTGGCTACAGTTCGCAGCAACAGGCATAAACCGCAAATGACCGTAATGATGTGCTGAAGAACAAAATGTAGGGCCTTTAAGAACTTCAACGTGATTTGGGTGGTATTCTATGATAGAGCTCTACCCTAATTTTGCAGTACAGGTACAAGTAAGGTAGGTATTCAGGCCCCCATACTATTCTGGATCCTTCGGTTTGTTCGGTTTCGGGGTCTCTGAAAATTTACAGGAGGCAGAGCTGGGCCTAGGTCTGGCAATTCGGCGGCGTTTTGAGGATTATCCTATATTGGCAATGGAGTCCCGCATTTTTCAAAATAAGATTCCCAAAGAATCCTTTAGACCAGCACTCCAAAAGCCCTGCGGACTGTTTCCTTGAAGGCCTCCGAGCGGGGGTCGGTGGCCGAACCCGGGGCGCTCCGCTCCGCTCCGGCGTTCCCCGATTTCAGAGAGATCCTGTGCATTCAAAGGGTTTCCATCGGGTTTGTCTCGCTTGTCGTGCAAGTGGTCGCTTCCCTTCGCACGTGACCACGACTAGGTCCTCGGCGGAATCGGAGAAGCGGACGACGAAGAATCAGGAACAGGTGGACTCGGAACCGAAAAGAAACAGGACCCTTGCCTTGCGATGCTGCCACAACGTAATAGCCATCCAGACGGGAATGCCGACTGGGTAGACCGCTGTCATACAGGCTGCATAGACGATGGAGTGTTGGTGGATGTCCGTATCGCAGTCGATGGCTAGATCTGCCTGCAGGAATCTTCCCGCTTGCCCATCATCTAGGTTGAACGACTGGCACTTGAAAGAATCAAAGATGGTGCTCGACGCTGCAGGGAGTACCAAGTACGCCACCATCAATGCCGAACCGAAGAAGCACGACTGGATTTCTGCACGTCGGTCCTCCGGGTGAGCCAGCAACCAGCACACGCACCAGTGGCAGATGAATGCCAGGACCACCCACAAGCTGCTGGTAAGTAATGTGGTCATAAAAGGCGATCGTAGAAAGTATTTGGGTGGACACAGTCTGCTGGAACCACTTCAAAGATCGTTGAACATGCTCAAGACCTCCATGAATTACAACAGCGCCGCCGGCCAAATGATGAATCCGAAGATTCCGGGGATCGTGTTCATAAACGCAAGCCGTGTATAGTTCAGCTGGTTGTAGTATTTCTCATAAGACGTTGATTGAGCAACCTCTAAGCCAGCTGAATGAATCCTTTCCCACCGTTTAAGCTGTTGACGGCATGTAGGTAAGGCTGCAAGGTCCTCCCGTCACAATCATCCTTGAGCGCATTGGAGAAGACGAATTCATGACGGCTGGAGTTTCTGTCGCGGTACTCAAGCACGATCCCCAGCTGCAAGTAGCAGCGTTCTGTCGCATACCACGCACGGAGGCTGAGTGCGGGCAATGAGGAACATGGAAGTGAGTATCCATGTGCACCCTGATGCGCTGCAGCCACTCCCTTTCGGGGGATCTACGGTGCAGCCAAGAATAGACAGTACACATCACTTGGAGGCATTGGCCCACTGCCTCCGGGCTTCAGCGGCAAAGCTCGGCTCAGTTTGGGCAACCGGACTGGTCGAACTTCTCTGCCTCCTGCGGATTCTTCTCCTGAGTCCCAGCATTCCCAGAGTTCCCAAGAAGCTCCTCGGTCGCTGCCGAGAGGCCAAGTAGAGCTTCGTCCTCCCGGGGCAGAGGCACCTCTCACGGGCACCGATGGGGACCCAACCTTTTTTTTTTTTTTTTGCAAGTCATGTCATCCCCCCAGATTTGAGGCCGGGATGCTGCGGTTCCGATGGGCTCTCCTTCTTGCACCAGTCTGGCTGCCCCGAGTCCTCGCGGTTCAAAACAGGGTACACCAGGAAACTCAGACCGCCGAAGCGACTCGAGCTCCGCGCCTTGCAGAAGTCGTGGCCCAGTGACTGGAAGCCGCCTCGCCTTTGGTCTTCCCGAAACTCTCGGAGCTTGTGCAGTATGTTTGCACCCCAAAGCCCAAGTTCAGTGTTCCGTCATATTTCTGATCCCTCTGAACGCTCTGTTCACGCACTCGTCGCAGCAGAGGCGCAACATGACGCAGTGGCTCGGGTCTTGAGCACAGGCATTGCCGGCGTAGAGGGACGCCTGCAAGCAACACCATGATGATGCATGCCATAACTGATGACAAATGTTCATGTGTCATCTCCGGTTTACGCAGTAGGCAGCACCCTGCCTTAATGACAGGTGCTTCCAGGAACGAGGCGAAGCGGCAACGCCTGCAAAGCCGGTCGTCACTTCCGCGCCCCAGGTTTCATCCTTCCCTCCTGTTCTGGGCCAATGGGGGGTCTTCGGAGTCTCACAGTCCGTGCAGCCAACTGACTTCTTACACCCCGATCTCTGTGCCCTCCATGGCCCCCTCATCCCTTGACAGCCGGCTGTGCGGCTCAAGGATGCGCTCGAGGCAGAATCAGCAAATCTCTCGCAACGACAGAGAGCTTTGAGCTTCAACAGCACTTTGTCCTCACTTTGTGGTTTCGGGTCAGTTCACCTGGCAACAACACAGAAGTAAGAGTGCGCGCAGCCACTTCAAAGAGGTGCGCTGGCATCTCTACAGCGAGGGAAGCAACATGCCCTCGCTTTCTGAGCAAGTCAAGCCCGCACACGATCAAGCCGGCGGGCGTGAAGACTCGATGTTGCTTCACGTCTTGCTCAGGTTGACTTTTCCTCTTCTTTTGACGGGCTTTCCTCCCTGTCTCTTCCGTCTTCCTTTCAGCAGGCTTGCGGGCGCGTTCCCCAGTGGGGGACGCCTGTTTGTTGGTTGGCGGTATGCTAGGTGTTAACCGCAACATCGCCTCAACTGGCAGACTTGGAACAGCAAGCATCGATAAACTGAAGTCATCCAGCATTGTCCCAGTGAAAGAATCTCTTTCTTTCGTGAGGGCTAGGGCAGGAGGGGAAAGAGTCTCTCTTTCTCTCGCTTTTCTTCTTCTTCTTGTACAGGGCATGAGAGACTGTTAAGGTCCCCCGGCCACCTGGGCCCCCCCGTGAATGTAGAGGCATTGGAGGGACGTGAGAACATTTGCAGGCTCCTCGAGCATAGGTAACGAGAAAGTTGATAAAACGAACGGGCAAGCCTAAAGCATCAGCTGCTGCTGCTGCTGCAAGCAAACGACAAGTCAGGTAACAAATGTTCAAATGTTTACAACTCATGGCGAAGTCCCCCGAAGGGCTCGTCCCTGGTCGTACACTGACAAGAACCGGAGTGTCGAGGGCCGCCGAAGCACTTTTTTGTTTTTCTCTCCCTCTTTCTCTCTCTCTTTCGGGGCGTCCTGAGCCTGGGCCCACACCATAGGATCTCCAGGCCGTGCCCTCCCACAGCGTGCTCTGGCGCCAACAGCTCCCCGAGCTTCCGGCTCATCCTTGCCGTAACACTTACATTGTCACTACATACAATATATATATATATATATATATATATGCTCGCCCCCCCCCATGATCTACCATCGGTGGTTCTGGGGAGTGGGGAGAACACGCACAGTAATGTAACTGAAACTGTTCCAAGCCGGAACTCTCCTGCTGCGTTGTTATACTGTACGATATGTGATGCCGTGTCGTCTATTGTGTGTTCATGTATACTAAGGCCCTTACACGTC